TATATCGTTGATTTATGAAAACATTCAGTTGCATGTCGTATTTATTACCATAGTAGGTTAAGTGGTAGAACAAATCTGTAGTGGTCTACACTGCAGTTTTGAACTGCTGAAGTTTTTTGCAAAAATCAATATAAAATAAATTATAATCATGTGGTTACTAAAATTCGATAAAATACACTCAAAAACTGAAATGTAATGCAAAACGTAATCAAATGTAGAATATAAAAAAGGACTATAGATTTTAACTAATTAGATGTTCCAATGTTTACCGCGAACGTCTTGGCAACATTCTAATCTCAAATAAAACTGTCTTCTAACATTATTTAACATATCAGGCGTGACCGACCTAATCGCAAGCGTTATTTTTAAGTCATTCAAATCTGAAGGTTTACTTTTGTACATATTGCTCAATACATATCCTCATAAAAAGAAATCTATTGGTGAAAGATCAGGTGATTACGCTGGCTATTCAATCAATCCTCGCCTCCCTATCCACCGATTGGGAAATTTTGTATCGATGTATTGCCGGACTTCAACTTGGTAATGTGGTAGTACTCCATCCTGCTGAAATCATATCGTATTCAACGGAACTTGAGGGTTTCCTGGATCAGGATATAAATATGCTCAACTTGGAATGACATCATTTTGAAGTCGTACCAAATAATTATCGCCATTCAAGTCTTCACCAATGAAAAAGGGACCAATGATATGATTTCCTACAATCTCTGCCCAAATATTAACCTTTTGAGGGTATTGCGTGTGTTCTTCACTCATCCAGTGAGGATTTTCCGTTGATCAGTAGAGGCTATCTTGCCGATTACCATGATCGTTAAGAGGCAAAGTACACTCATCCGAAAACATAAAGTCTTCTGATTGGATGATATTGTTATCCAACATGTTCATCATTTGCTCACAAAAATAAATTCTCCTATCCATGAGCTTCTGATCCTGTTTCTGTTTTTCTGTTAATCAGCTGTCGCCCCCATACGAACGACAACTCTCAGAAGTTGAGAAATTTGTGTGAGCTGAGGACTAACGAGGTCCTACTTTTTAACATGTGATTCCTAACATGGTTAGGTATCATTTTATAGAGATGAATTTTATTTTCTCTCAATATGTTTACTATCGATGTGTGGCTAACATTCAATGTAATAGATGTCTGTCTACTCGATGTATGTGGGTTTTCCTCAAACTCAAGCATCTCATCTAATTTGAGTCCATCACTAGTTGCATTGGCAGCTGTTTTTTTATCTGCCCCACATGACCAAGCTCGCGAAACTGCTTCTCTATTTTGCTTATTGTTTCTTGAGATATGGGCTGTAAATTAGGAAATTTCTCATGGAATAGGTGAGTTGCTTCCTGTTGTGTTCGGGTTTTATTTCTGTAACCAATTATTTGTAAAACTGTTATTTTATGCATTTCCATCAATGTAACCATTTGTCAGACTTGAAGTTAATGAACTTTGAACCTAAGTTAAAAAACTGATAACTAATGTTGTAACATACGAAAGAAGTTGACAAGGCGTTTAAAACTAACGTTGCCACGGAAATCGTTTTTTAAAGGATACCATCTAAAAGGAACATTAGTGTGTTCTTCACTCATCCAGTGAGGATTTTCCGTTGATCAGTAGAGGCTATCTTGCCGATTACCATGATCGTTAAGAGGCAAAGTACACTCATCAGAAAACATAAAGTCTTCTGATTGGATAATATTGTTATCCAACATGTCCATCATTTGCTCACAAAAATAAATTCTCCTATCCATGAGCTTCTGATTCTGTTTCTGTTTTTCTGTTAATCAGCTGTGGCCCCCATACGAACGACAACTCTCAGAAGTTGAGAAATTTGTGCGAGCTGAGGACTAACGAGGTCCTACCTTTTAACGTGTGATTCCTAACACGGTTAGGTATCATTTTATAGGGATGCATTTTATTTTCTCTCAATATGTTTACTATCGATGTGTGGCTAACATTCAATGTAATGGATGTCTGTCTACTCGATGTATGTGGGTTTTCCTCAAACTCATGCATCTCATCTAATTTGAGTCCATCTCTAGTTGCATTGGCAGATGTTTTTTTATCTGCACCACATGACCAAGCTCGCGAAACTGCTTCTCTATTTTGCTTATTGTTTCTTGAGATATGGGCTGTGAATTAGGAAATTTCTCATGGAATAGGCGAGTTGCTTCCTGTTGTGTTCGGGTTTTATCTTTGTAACCAAATATTTGTAAAACTGTAATTTTATGCATTTCCGTTAATGTAACCATTTGTCAGACTTGAAGTTAATGAACTTTGAACCTAAGTTAAAGAACTGATAACTAATGTTGTAACATACAAAAGAAGTTGACAAGGCGTTTCAAACTAACGTTGCCACGGAAATCGTTTTTTAAAGGATACCATCTAAAAGGAACATTGCTATGGTTTTTGCTAACTTTCTTATTATCAATACTTCAACATGAAATAAGTTTTGAGTATATTTCAATAAGTTTAGAGTGTATTTTATCAAATTTTGATAACCACATGATAACAGTTTTGAATAGAGAACAAAGAGACCTTTCAAATGATATATCACAAAGCTATACTCCCCATTTAAAAACCTGGGAGTTACACCAGGTTTTTATTACTCGATTGATACTCGACTTAAGCAGCATCTGCAAGATCTTACCTATGTGATGTAGTTTGCATAAATGTCTGTTGAATATACAGTGTGTAACAACGAAAACTTAACAGAGCCGCTTTTGAATATAAAAAGTAAGATTTTCAAAAAAAGTTCGGACACATCGATTTTTAATTAAAGGGGGACACCTTTCAGACTAAACAGATTTTTTGTAGTACGCACCCCCTCGGAGGGGTGCGTCCGATGACCCTTATTTAGATAGGGAAAGTAGGTCGAGTGGCACCTTGTTTCAAAGGTCTTTCGAATACCTCTACAACTCTGTTGAAAGAAAATTTTTGTAACGATTGGTTTTCGAGATAATTTGAAGCTGAAATTGCCATGTTAATAATACATTAGACAGACCACTCGACTTTTTTCCGAAATCAAATGGACACGTATTAGCAGGTTGTCATAAAAAGCAAAAATTTATTTTTTTTATGAAAGTTCTGAACGTGAAGTGTACTTTAAAAAGAGATGAACTCAATAAAAATACCTTTAAATCTTCAAATTATCTCGAAAACTAATCGTTACAAAAATTTTCTTTTAACAGATATGTTGAGGTATTCGAAAAACCTTTAAAACAAGGTGCTACTCGACCTACTTTCCCTATCTAAATAAGGGCCATCGGACGCACCCCTCCGAGGGGGTGTGTACTACAAAAAATCTGATTAGTCTGAAAGGTGTCCCCCTTTAATCAGAAATCGACGTGTCTGAGGTTTTTTTACAAATCTCACTTTTTGTATTCAAAAACGGCTCTGTTAAGTTTTCGTTGTTACACACTGTATTTTAGCGTCCACCATCTCATTACCTTAGAAACTATTTAGCAGATTTTACTTCGTTTGGGAAAGTGAATGTTTTGAAACTCCATACTTACTTTTTGAGTAACAAAAATGAACATAGAAACTGAAGTGTATTTCTTTTATTGATTTAATCGTGGAACAATAGATTTCATGCCTGGATTATTCGAATATAATTCCTTTCAAATCGAATTAAATTCAATTGCTGCTGTATTATTGACGTCATCGTCAACATTGGCACGCCCTATCCTATCGAACATATTCCAGTATTTCTGTTCAACTAGTTTCATAGCTACAAAAACTAATTTGAGTTCAGCCATGACGCATCTGCAGAATTTCATAGAATTTTGTAGTTTCATGATTATACTACCTCTCCACAACAGAAAACTTTTCCGATACATCATGTTCATAATATTTTCATTCTGGCTGACTGGAGAAATGTATTCAACCTATGGAAAATTGTTCGTAGTGAAATCTTCAGAAAAATACGTAGTAACTCGAATCATAGAAACAATAAGGAGCTGTCTTGGAATGATCGCAGGTAGTGTGGTAACCATCCAATCCACTTTATTGTGTCCAGAAAACAAAGGACATCTCTTCGCCTTGATTTTGGATGTCGACAGAGATGTCAATAACTCAAATATGAAGATATATTTTTGGTTCAGTCTGATTCTTAGTTACGTGACCACCATCACTTTTATACTATGGAAACAATTCTATTGGTGGTCAGCTGTCTATAATAAATATTATCTCGTAGAGGATACTACTTATTTTAAAATGAACACAGAAGTATTTCTATATTTTTGGTTAGGAATGAGAATTTCACACCAATTGAAAACTTTGAACAACTCCTTGAAATCAGATGGACACTTGAAAAATATTCGAGGAATATTCAATAGGTGTGAAAGAAAATTAACTACAGTTAAACCTGGAGCAATTCAAAATGTGCGAAAAATCAGCAAATTTTATAATAATTTCATTGATCTCCTTCAGAAATTGAATGCATTCTTCGGAGTATTTATTGTCTTCTACGTTTTATATGCTTGTGCTTTCATCATCGAGGGAATAGTGAAGTCCATCTGGTACGTCAAAATCGAAATTTACCAGTATGCGAATTTGAATGTTACAACATTGATCTGGATTTATCTCTACGCAATTGCTGTAGAAGTGGTGAGTGTAATTATAATTGTACTCAGGTGTAAATATAACTCAAATATAAATATATTCTTGAGGAATCCAAGTTTCTGTTACATCACTATATACAATGTTATAACAAGAAACCTGAAAATAATTTCTGAAGTAAACTTCCTTACGTGCGCTTGACTTGGGTAGTAAGCTAGTGAATGCGTGACGAGAGCGTTACGATAATGTGATCGAGCGAGGCAAACGGAAGTTGAGAGGGACGTATGAGTTAGTAATGATTGAAAGAGAGACATCAAGGTTTCGTATAGATAGATAGTTAAATAGATAATTTATTTAACTACGTTATGTAAAAAAAAATACATTTGTAGATAGTCAAAACCATAATGCTTGAGCCATAATGCTGCATCTACGCGTTCTATAGATCTCCAGCGAGTAAAATTGATGACTTCCTATATCAACTTAACGAATTGCTAAACAAAGAGAATAAGAACCCACATTACAGTTTATTCGTTGGTGATATAAACATTGATCTATTGAAGGAAACTGAAGACTCGAAAACATATCTCGACATTATGAGTGAATATGGGTTTCACTCAACCATAAACACCACTACCAGAGCAAGGAATGGATCGGAATCATGTCTAGATCATATATTTATTAAAACGAAACAGCAAAACTTCAACAATCTATTGCCTATAACTATCTCCACCACAATCACAGATCATTACATAACGCTACTACAAATCGTACTAAATAATAAAACAAAAAATGAAATAAATAACAATTCAAAAAAATACTTTCAAAGATTAGACAAAAAAGAACTGCTTGAATCCATAAGCCACATAAATTGGGAGGATGAATTATACCCGATGCATAATCTTGAAACTGTAACAGAAAAATTCATAAATATAATAAATACCTGTATTCGTAAATCAACAAGACACATAAAAATGAAAAATAGTGAGCGCAGACGAAAAAACTGGATTACGAAGTCCTTGATAACACATATCAACGAAAAAAACCTATTGTATCGCCTTTGGAAACAAGACCCAACCAATGTGAACATGAAAAATGATTATCTCACAACCAAAAAAATAACTGAGAAAAAAATACGAGATGCAAAAGAAAAGTATTATGGAAAGCTAATGGAAAATGAACAGAATACAAGCAAAAAACTATGGAAAACGGTTAATGAAATTCTGAAAATCGAAACAAA